ATAATCAATAATAATACATAATTAATTACTAAAAATTAAATAATAATAATTAATTTAATTTCATGGGTATGTTTAATAAATTAAAATATAATATATATTATAAAAATATAAATTAATTGTACAATAAAATTTCAACTAATTGTATTAGTATTAATTTAATAATTAATAATTAATAATAAATAATTGAGTAAAATAAAATAATACAAAAAGTTGATTTTTCCCACGTAACCATCATCGGAAATTGTGTCAATAAATTAATATTAAAAAAATAATACCAACAATATTTGGCATCGATATCTTAAAATTTAAATATTAAATTAAATAGGGAGGCAAAAAACTTCCAACGCAAGATTTTACATCAAAAATTTTTGACAAAAAGAAGCGTCAGAATTTTCCAACGCCAGTTGCGTCAGAAGAAAATTAAAAAAATGAAAATATTTAATAAAAATATTGGTTACCAATGCAAGCTGTGTCTGTAAGTAAAATCCTATGTCAAAAACTAGTGGGTTTTTCATTGGAATTTTTCATTTGTGTCAAAAAAATTATGTTGAAAATGGCATAAATGACGTTGGTAGAATTTTTTTTTTCGACACAAATAAATTTGCGTCAGAAATTTTTTTCCAACAGCCCTTTTTTGATGAAATTTTTGCATCAATTATAGCGTCAATTTCTCTATTTCCGACACAATTTCCTTTTTTACCAATGCATTTTTTGTGTCAATAGTGGCACATTTTCTAGTAGTAAAATGAACTAATACGATTTCCTAAATAGATGCATTATACACTTTATGTCTATTTCCTTCAGTTTAAGAAGCCCTATATAGTATTTGAGATATGGATTGTAGAATTAGAATCAATCCACCATGCATTACGAAAAATTTCAATTGTATTAAATTCAAAATACACTAGAGCATTGAGATTGGCTTTCTTCTCAAGTCAAACCTGTCATTTAAGATAGTCTTTCTTCATTTGTCCTTTCTTTTTACCAAAGCAACAACGAGACTATTTCTTTTGGGAACCCATGGAAGAGAATCCCTTTTTCTTTCCTTTATGGCTTTGCTTATTATCCTTGCATGTAATGGTCAAATATGAACTCTCCATCACTTCTTGATTCAATTGGCCTTCTTCTTGCACATACATAATTAGAAGTTCATTTACTAACCAATTCTTCTTATGTGTTCTTTAAGACATTTTAAAGGGCCCAAATTGAGCCAGGAATGAGTTTAGTATGAAATGCACTAAAAAGGAGTCAAAAATCTCAACCTCCAATGCCCTTAGTTGAGCCGCTTTGTCCTTCATTTACATAATATGCTCACGCACACCTGTATTGCTACTGTGTTTTGCTAAGGACAATTATGTCATATGCTACCAAGTGACTTGTCTAAAGACTCAAATTGTTCATCAATAGCATTCATGTAAATCCTAACACTTGCACGTTCAAGAACAAAACCACGATTACTTGCCCTTATGCGAGACTTAATATATATCATGCTTAAGTGATTAGATCACTCCCACTTTTCTACAATTCGATCTCGACTTGTGTGCTAGCATTTGTGAGTACTGGAGGCTTATCTGCACAGATGGCATAGTCAAAATCCTTGCAACCCAAATGAAGAAAGATTTTTTCCTTCCAAATCTTATAGTTGTCTCCACTCAAATAGATAATGTGATATGGACTTTCAGATATCATAATTGATGAAATAACTGCAAAGAAATATATTAATAAGTAATGCTTACAAATTGAGAGCAACAAAAACATCACGTATAAGTTTTATGCTCACTCATGCAGACATACATAAAAATATGAAAACCATGCCATTGAAATCTTTCTATAGGCAAAGACTCTGACACAATAATTCATGAATTCCTTTATATGGCAAAACTAGAAATGAACTCACCCTTGTCAATACTTGTGAGCTACTTGAGAATTATCAAATTTCTATTTTACCCTAATTAAACATGATAGTGTAACTGTCTCGTTGTGGACAAAGATCAATTGCACTTTTATATATTTAATTACAATTAATTTATTATTAACTATATGTGATTTAATTTTGATGTGTTTATTAAGGATGATGTGGCTACTCCTTTTAAGTATACATCAGAGTATAATTAAAAGATCCTTCCTTTTTTTATGACGTACACACATAAGTAAAGTACAATCATTATTGAGAATATAGAAAGTAAGAACAAAAATATATTCTCAGAACATGCTCAAAAATTAAAGAACATAAATATACCCATTTCTTTTTTTATAATATTTTTATTTGAAATTCGAATTTATAATTAAATAAATGAAATCGGGTCAGGAGGCTCAGGCCAAACTGGTCAGTGGCCCAGTCACAAGCGGGTCAAACTGCGCCCGAATCAGTGCACAGGTCAAACCGGGTTAGGGTCAAACGTGGGTCGAGCTCAGGGTAAAGGTCAGGGTTGGGCAGTACGGGTCAGATGAGGTGCAGGTCAAGGTTGGGCACGAGTCAGGTGAGTTGCAAGCCACGCGCACCCAGCACTACATCTTGTGGTTGAATGGGTGCGTGTGTACATGCACCCCTCTTTTTTCCCATACGTGAAACTCTAGCCACTCAGTGTCCTCCGGTTGTCTTCTCCGACCAGAATCTACCATGGTCGATAATGCAAGCTCGCTAGAGGACCACGGCAGCATCCCCATTGGTCTCTGGTTGTCAAAAATCATCTGAAATTGCCAAGAATCCAGAAAAAATTCAAGAGACGTTTATTTATTTTTTATTAACTTTGGCATTTTTCTGGCGAGTACAATCTGAAGAGCTTTCTCTTGCCGATTTAACTCAAGGCTAGAAACCCAAGAACTCCAAAGAAATAAACCAGGAACAAAAATTAAATCCGAATACCAAAAATCTGAAAAAAAATAGCATAAAATCCAAGCAAAAAACATAGATCCAAATGTTCAGAGTGTATGTATACATATACATGTGCAAGCAAGTTCATATTTACAAACAAATTATATATATGCCCTGAACCATAGTATGCATTCAAAGAAAAATCAAAAGGTAAGCAATTTTTCAGAAATCAGAAGGATGTCCCAATGGAAAGTATATACACGTATGTAATAACAAGTATGACAAACTCGTATATCAAGGCAAAATATTCAATGGCTCTGATACCACATGATAGCCAACAAATACACACACACACACACATTAATGCTATAAAACTTTAATATATGCAAAAAACCTGACCCCGGTCATTGACATTGACTTGTAGAAAACATTAAGAGACTCAACTTCTAGAGAGCCTTCCAACCAATGCACAATTCAAACGTGATGGATTGTGTATATTCTGAATTTTCTTGGTTTGGGACTCCTATCTTCCTTTATTTACGGATCATCTCCCATCAATATGATAATATCAAATCAAATTTTCTGAAGCCTAATTGATAACAAATAATCCTATTCTTGATCTCTTAAGAGATTATGGATGATATGGGATAAGATAAGAACTACAATCAGTTTTTATAAGATAATTAAGTAAATATATATAATATTTAAAAGCAGAATTCCAACAGAGAATTGTGGATGACATTATTGAGGGAAGAAGACTTCAAGGTACTTTCGATGCAATGCCTATCATATCCCAAATCAAGTCCTTCACTCAACTTCAATGGCAAGTAGAAGTAAATCATACCTTTAGAGAGAGGAATAAATGTGTTGACTTACTCCCCAATCTTGACCAATCTCACGAGTCTGGTGTCACGGAATGGGTATCCCCTAAGCCAATTGGGCAAATTTCTTATAGATGACGCTATGAGAGTCTTTGTTTCCCAGGATACCTAGTTGTAGTTTTGCTCTACTCTGTTTTGGGGTTCGACCTTTATTATGTAACCAAAAAAATGGTTGGACTAATTTCAGATATAGCCCAAATTTGTTTATGCACTATTTTTTATTAAATTATTTATGGGTAGTACACATGTTAAAATGAGCCTTTTACCGACACCAGGTTTGAAGAAATTGACGTTTTGTCCCCAGAATTTAAGAGTTCTTCTCAGACTCGATGAAATGGAGCTTATCTCACAGTTAATTTGTTTGTTTGTTTGGATTTTGCCCCCTTCGTAACCCAAAAAAGGCATAAGCAAAAATTTAAAAAAAAAAAAAAAAAAGAAGGCAACTGATGCAAATTTCTGAGTTTAAGACGAATCTGTTAATCAAGTCCAGCCCAAATTAATCTAGATCCGGTCTGTTAACCACAAAGATATTGTGTTTTTTGTATTTCCTAAGGGATGAGGTATCACATCACAATCTTATATATGCGTCCAAATCTCAATTTTCTTTACTACAATAGTAGCCACTCCGAAAGCTATGTAAATGTTAAACATCAATTTTTCATTTTTCTATCGACTTCATTTTGCCACTTCCGAAAGAGATGGCTTTTAAAATAGCTCGTAAATATTTGGAATTAGGGCCTATTACTACATTTGTTCATCAAATTATCCGTCCAAATATGAAATTTGGGCTATGACGAGTTTTGCTTAAGTTCCCTGGAATTATGTTGTGTATCAATGTATAATATCATTTACATAGCGCAACGTGTATGTGTGTAAAATAATTATGTTTCCGAAAATTTTTCGGAATTTTGCTGATTGGAAGACACTGGATGGCCGTTTAAATTCCTTTTTAGTCGGTTAGTCCGTTTCTTCTGATTGGTCTGGGAAAATTTTCCAGTTTCTCCCCTTCCAATCTCTCTTACCCCAAAAGTTCCTCTGCAATTCAATTCTTACACCCTAACTTCTCTCTATTGCAGAGTCTCGTCTTCCGCCAAATTATCCTCCGTTTATGGTAAAATCTCCTTCTCTCTCTCTCTTTCTCTTGCTTTCAATCTGCCAGCATTTTCTTTTTCAAATTTTCCGTGGAAACAAACAATCTAGCGTTCTAGGTTTTCTTGGAATCGTTTTTTGTTTTGTGGGTTTATTTTGATTTTTTTACTAATGGATTGTGATTTGAATGTGGGTAGGTTTGTGGGGGGTCATAGAGAGAAGAAGGAATAATGGCATATAAGGTGGATCACGAGTACGATTATCTGTTCAAGATCGTTTTGATTGGGGATTCTGGCGTAGGGAAATCAAATATACTTTCCAGGTTTACGCGTAATGAATTTTGCCTGGAGTCCAAATCCACCATTGGTGTCGAATTTGCGACAAGGACTCTCCAGGTTAACTTCAATCTTTCTGATCTATACTTTATTATTCTTCTTTTTTGTATTATTATTATTTTGGACTTTTTTAATAGCACCATTTTCAATTATAATAAATCATATAATGAAATTCTGGAACAGTGATTTATTTTGGGTTTATCTGGGTGTCCATTCCAATTTTGTGCCTTATCTTTGAAGGAATTCCTAATTAGATCTCTCGTGCAGTAACTCTGCCTTTACTTTGATGACCTTGCAAATTTAGCTTTATATGTCCCGTTACAGGTGGAAGGCAAGACAGTGAAGGCCCAGATATGGGACACTGCCGGCCAAGAGAGGTACCGAGCCATCACAAGCGCCTACTACAGAGGCGCGGTCGGAGCCCTCCTGGTCTACGACATAACCAAGAGGCCAACCTTTGAGAACGTGCAGAGGTGGCTCCGCGAACTAAGGGACCACGCAGACTCCAACATCGTCATCATGATGGCCGGAAACAAGGCTGACCTCAACCACCTCAGGGCAGTCCCGGAACAAGAGGCCATGCTTCTAGCCGAGAAGGAAGGCCTCTCGTTCCTCGAGACCTCAGCCTTGGAGGCCATCAATATCGAGAAGGCATTCCAGACAGTCCTCTTGGAGATTTATCAGATAATTAGCAGGAAAGCACTGGCAGCACAGGAGGCGGCCACAGGGGTCCCGAGCCAGGGCACCAGTATCAACGTGGGAGAGTACTCGAGTAACTTGAGCTCGAGATCTTGTTGTTCTAACTAATTAACAAGATGTTCAAACTACGTGGAGAAAAAATCTCATGAGAAGAGTAAGATGAAGTGAGGTGACAGCAATGTAAGCTAAATGCAACAAGTCAGTTATAATTTTTTTTACCTTTAAAGACTCATCTAGTTCATGGAAGACATTGTTGGGTTGGCCACATCGTCTCTTGAACTAGAATTCAAGGCTGGGGTGCAAATTGGTGCCTCATCATAGGCATGGAATAGGAGAAAGGTCATGTAAGAAGGTTCAATTTTTTGGTTGACATCGTGATTATCACTCTCTTAAGTCTATTACTCGTGTCGATTGAATTTTGTACTCTTTCTAGCAAGCAATAATTAGCATTTCAAATTGAGAAATACCCATCTATGCATTCCATAATTCGGTTTATCTCTTTTCATGCTGTATGGTAGAAATGAAACTGATATTCCTAAAAGAACTTGTTTCCCAGTACTTAAGAAGGCATTACTAATGTGGGATGGAGGTGTTCAGTCAAGACATTGATGTAGCGTAAAAGCTACTACAAGTCTGTAATAGTTTTTTCTTCCTCTTGTTATTTCCCTTCTCTTGAGGTCATTAGATCAAAGACATGTCCAGTTAATGGAAGCCATTGTTGGGTGAGCACAACTAAAATTTCTAGTCTGGGCTGCAAAAAACGGTGCCTCATCAGTGGCAGTGTATAGGAGAGAGGTTCTCCAAGAGTAAATTCGTTTTTATTTTCTTGTTATTGACATTTTAATTATCATACTCTTAAGTCTATCACTCGCTCTTTATTGAAAGAGTAAGTTCATTTCCGTTTTTGGTTCAGCTCTTTTTAGCAAGCAACAATTCCCATTTGGCGTTGTTAATCAGGCATATAATGAATTCCCAGATTTGATTCTCTTTTCTCTCTCTTTTCCAATCTGAGGATGGAGTAAAATGGAAAACGCGAAGGTTTCAATCTTACCCTGAGCTCAAGTGGAACTGCTAGTGTTCCCAGTATTCCCCCCCCCCCCCCCCCCCCTCTTCCTTGATGGTGGCATCAAAATTGAGATTCTATTAACAAATGGATTTTTTTTCATCCTAGACATCTGCTTTCCCCGATTCATCTAACACACGGGTTTTTGAGGCTTTGGGCAAGTTGTAAAATTTAACAGATTCACAAATGGGTTTTTTCATCCTAGAATCTGCCTTTCCCCGATTCATCTAACACACGGGTTTTTGAGGTTGGGCAAGGGTTGTAAAATTTCAACAGATTCTATTAACAATGGGTTTTTTTCATCCTAGACATCTGCCTTTCCCCGATTCATCTAACACACGGGTTTTTGAGGCTTTGGGCAAGGGTTGTAAAATTTCAACAATATGAGAATTACAATTTACGTGAGTTGTTTTCTCTTGGTTATAATATATGCCATAGAAAGACAAAACTACTGCCTAGAATATCAAATCAGGCAACTGAAGGATGAATATTAATGTGTCACTGTCTTACAAATGCCCTTTTGACCTTTTAAAAAGCATTTTCTTCGTGGTGCCTCTTTTTTGGTGTTGCAAAAACTACATTGTGGTGAGGTGAAGAGCACATGTGCGCCTGAATACTACAAGATGGTAACAATGTGGGTACAGAATTAACCATTTTGTGACTTAACGAGAATCTGAAGCAGCTTTTATGAGATCATGGGTTGCAACAAATTGTTACAGAGACATAAAACACTGCCACGTATCTGTAATTTGTGTAAATTTTCAGCTTTAAGGCCTGTTTGATGCCTAGGAAATTTTTTCCCGATTTGAGGATTTTAACAAGTCTTCATTGAAAATTTGTAGTAGGTGTATAGTTTTTCCTAATTGCACCCAATCTACTAGTCTATAAGCTCAACACAGATAGAACATTGCAGGATTGATCCATCAACTATGTAACCATTTTGAACTTTGTTGGTATATCCCACTCCTAACTTTAAAATTCAAAAGAATATTGCAATAATGGAACCATGTAAAAATGTACCCAGAACGTAATTCTTAATGAAATGCAGCCATATAAACTCTTGCGTCCTTATGGAATGAAGATATGCTTATTATTATTGCGTTTCATGCCCTTTTTCCCATGCTTCCTTGAAAGGACCCCCCACAAAAACTAGGAGAGCAACTTAATCTTTCCAAGACTCAGGTATGAAACGAAAGAACTTCCAGTAGGGACGTGGTCATGGAATGTAGAAATGAAGTTACAGAGGAAAGTTTCCAGTCCAACGAATATGATCGAGGGTACGGCGTAACCCATACCTGTTCACGGCTTCGTAAGCAGCCCTAAATCCTCCACCATAGGCAGGAGAAACTTCATTCGCAATTTGATGCATGAAAAATTTTCCCAACTGAGTCTCAACATCAGACTTCCTACCTTTCTTAGAGGATGAAGACGATGATGATGACGAAGCTCCAGATGTGGACGGCATATTTCCAACTTCAGGCATCAACTCTGACTCGAGCCACATATATGAAAGCATTTGACAAATACCCTCCTCGACCTCTAAACTGAGATTATTGTACCCTGCAAAATTTTTAAAGAATAAAAAGATAAAGGGAAAATGGCTATAACTAGGAAACATGATTTGAAGAATATATTAGAACTTCAAATCTTAACTCTGATACATAATAGGAGAAAAAGAAGAAAAATTGTAAATAAATGGAAGGATTCCCGTAGTACCTTTAAGTCTTAACCATGCATGCATTAGCTCGTGAGCAAGAATAGCACCGGTTAGTAGTCTGTATTGAGCAAAGATGTGCAGGGTAAGCATTCAGAAATCAAGTAATGCACTTGCCACATCAGACAGAAACACAGCATATAAAGATGCCCAACATCTTGTAAATCTGGTTCACTTTTCTGAGAAAATACATTTTTGCAGCCATTGCCAGGTAGTAGAATAAATGAATCACAACTCCTCTGACATTACCTTTAAAAAGTATCATTCACCCGAAAATACTTCATGGATAGTAAAAAATAAAAAAATCAAAATATTAATGTTATTTTGTGGAAGTAAACTTATTAACTTATGGTAGAAAAAGTGCATCTAAAGCAAAATACCTAACATAGAGCCTAAGGCTCCAATCAAATGATCAGATAATCAACTTATTAAAGGATAACTTTAAATCTGATTCTAAATAAAATATAAATATCCTAAGCATCTAGTAAACCTCACTTTAAAGTGCAGAACATAACATAAATGTTATGTTAAATATATCAGAAATACGTGTCAATTCCTTGTAGGTTAATTTCTATCTTATCTCTGTACTTAAGGTTATGATCTACAGCTCTTTTATCATTACAAGCAGCAGAAAATCTTGGGCATCTGTGAACCTGTACATTAACAATACAAGCAGAAGATATCATCAAATTAGATTGGAGCATAGAAAGGAACCATAATCACCTTGGGAGGCCATACAGAACCAGAATAGCAGTGACTTCACAAATTCGAGTTAGCTTTTGATGTCGTGTTTTCATTCCTACAAGTTGATGGTCCCCCACTTTTGGCTTTTTATGTATCTGGATCATCATGATGACAGACACAATAAAATAAGGGAAACCTCTTAATTGGAACATGATTATGTGGAGATAAATTTATTTAAGATAAAACAAAATACAATAATATAGTTATGCAGCATACACTCGGAATTGTCTGCTCTTCAGACAAGCATAAACCCCTTGTTTCAGGCATGTGGTGGAAGCCCTGTAAAGAACCTTATCCAAATCAGAAAATTGCGAGGAAAAAAAAAAGGAAAGTAGAATTTGAAAAAGAATCCAATTATTACATTTTTTTCCCCCACAATTGCTTCATTAAGTGCTTGTCTTTCAACTAGAAGCATGGGAATTTGCTGGTCGATTTTCATGTTCATTCCTTCATAGTAGTCTCTTATGGAATGGTAGAGTGGTTGACAATCACCAGTGTCCATTACAGCACATTCCATGCACTCTAAACATAAGCTCCGTCCATCGCCCAAAGATACATACTTTGCATTCCAAGACTTCAAAAAGGAATATGGGGGACAAACATGAACTCATAAGCAACATTTTCAGATTGCTCTGACCACAAAAAATGTTATTACAATTGCAGTTCCAAACTGTTCAGGTGACAAAATAATTTCAAAATTATCAAAGACAAGTACCAGCTTAGTAAAGTACCTCCAAGCGTTCACAACTGCAGCATCGCACTGTGCTGTCATACTCGTGTGAAGGGCAATATTTCTGGGACCAAAATGGATGACGCCTATATTCAATCAAACCAGCTCCATTTGTTGGGATCTGATAAGTGATAATATATAAAACTAAGATTATAACCATCAATAAAAAGATCATTAGCAATAAAGATTGTCAGTAACATAAAGTTACAACATAGATGGTCAAGGCCAGATCTCAACTCTAAATGATAGTTACTCTCAAATATTGCTTATCATACTCTTTTTTTTTCTTAATCTAACTATAATATATTAGTCTACAAAACAATCATAAAGTTGTCATTAACTTAACCTATATCTGTTTACAAGGTACCAATCCTAAGAAATCTAGGACTATTTGAATGTCTAGTATCCATAAAACAAAACCAAATTTAAAAAATATCATTGTGCAACTCTTCACTTAGTTTATAGCACAATAAAACCACCAAGCAAAACATGCAAGAATCTTGCTCCTACATTGTTATGTCCAGGTGACGTAGGCAATAGAGTTCCTCAGAAAAGCATCAAGAAGGTTACTTTTTTTGTCTCTGTAAATAAACTTATTGTTGAATTGTCAATCAAAATGGTAAAACTCTCACTACTACTTTGAACTAAGTTAACAAAGAGCCACACTAAAACTCAGCTCCATAAGAAAAAGTCCATAAAAATTTATTTTTGAAAGAGTAGATGAGGCAGGAGAACAAGGAAACAACTAGATGTACAACGGTAATATTGCCTTACAAATTGGTGACAAACATCACACTTGGGATGATGCAACTCTTTGAAGCAGGACTTATGGTATGCATGCCTCCCTGACAAAGAAAACTTGAATCAACAGAAAAAAGACCATTAAACCCAGAGGGCAACCAAAGATAGAATTGCATTAGATGCCCTGTTAAACTTTTGCATAAATAAGAAGGATTCATTTCCATATTTCAAAAAACTTTTGTGTGCATATATGCTGGAGGATTGCAAAACACAGTAGAAAAAGAAGTACTGAGGACCCAAAAAGCAAAAAACAAAAAACAAAATACCTCAGAGTCAGTAATAGGGAAACCACAAAAACGGCAACAGAAACACTCTGGGTGAAAAAAGGTTCCCATGCATCCTAAATAGTTTCCATAGCCAATATCACGGTTGCATCCACCACATATTCTGCAAGTTAGAGGCATATGTATACATGATTAATCATTTCAAGGTCCAGCAAAGTTGTAAAATCAAATTATGCAGTACTTCCATAACTGATCTGTCTAGTAAACCAGGTTGCAACAATCTGGAACAACAATTCCTTATCTACAATTCTCATTCTATAGGTTTGATCTCCAAAAAGAGAAGTGGTTCAACTTGAGTGAAAGTAATCAATTACAAAATTTGGAAGCACACAACTGAATGGAATTAATTTACCATACAACTTAAATAACACATAACAATAATGGTTTCATTGGACAAAATAATACATAGTTACACATATGGCCCAAACAATTACCTATATCCTGTTGGATAATAATTATTAGGGGCATAAGGAGGATATGCGGATGAATTGAGGCTACCCTGGGGTGCCCTTGGATCTCCAATATTGTCTGTCCAGCCTTTGTATCCTGAAGCAACCCAAAAATTATATATGGATATCAGACCCCACTGAAAATAAGCGAAGTCCAAACTTAGAGAAAGGAAGTATTTAAATTGTATTTCTAAAAAGAGAATAATTGCAAAGTTCAATAAAACACTCCTACCAGGTGGTCTCTTCATATCTTCAGCCAAAGAAAGTGCAATTGCATGGTCCAATTCCTCTCTCTCCTTTCGGGATCTAGAGTAATCATCCTGATGAGACTTCAGAGAATAAGAATTTCAACATTTATTCAATAAATACACTCAATACCAGCACATGACAGTAACATAAGTTTACATTTGAAGATCATTTCTTATTTGGTGAATAAGATTACTACATTCTTCAAAACTATAGCTCAAATATTATATAGTGCACAGAATTGTGCCAAGATACTTGCATTGCTAAGTTCAGATGTTCCAGAAACGCAGGAGTGTTCTTCCCTGAACATTGTATATCTAAAGGATTACTTTTGCACATTAGTGTTATAGTTAAGAAATAAATTTTTAAAACTTGTATGGGATATAAGTCACGCTTCAGCCCCCTCCTCACCCCCTCCCCAAACACGAAAAAAGGGGATAATGGAATAAGTAATAATAATCTAATCACGGTCAAGTTAAAGCACCAATAACAGGAGCTTACAATATTAGAGTTATCCCGCTCACTCCCCCTCCCTGTTGATCTGTTTTCCACTCAACCAGCTTCATATTGATTTTTATTGGAATTAATGTACTCCTATGCTACTGGAAAACTACTAGTACAAAGAGAATTGCATCAGTTGATAATATCATCATGACAATCATCACAATACCAGCACAATCATAGATGATATCTTATTACCGAGGATTCTCCAGGAGCCTGCCAAACCATGTATTCATCCCCGCTACACTGCGGATGCTGCCTGCTTGCAATTCCACGATCTGAACCACTCCTAAAAAGCTTGCCCAGCCATTTCATAAACCGGGATTTCCTCTCCCCATATGAAGAAATAAAATATCCTGTCAAATCCCATACTAAATCTATGAACGATTAACCAAATAATAACGATAGACCACATAAACACATACAAATGAAAAAGAAACATTCATTGACAAAGTTCATCAAACATGTTAATGGCATCATATAGAATAAAGAAAAGTAGTTGGGAATGGATTTGAAAATGGTTCAAATCATAAAGTTTACCGTAAATGCAGGGCTGAGAGAGTTGATTAGCACCCGAAGAAGAAGACATGGACGTGGAGGCGTATGTAAAGTTTTTCCTGAATTTCGAGGAGGCGAAGAGTCCGAAAATGAGAAGAGAGGAGAGATAAATAGGGGGACAGCGACAGAACAGGACGAGAAGGTCCGGAGTATAAAAGGAATGGAATAGAGGGTGGCGAAGAATATTAACAATGGCATTGTCAAAAGATAGTTTTTGGAAAGAAAGAGAGAAAGAAAAGGGGGAGGAATATCTGAGGAAGAAAGGAAAGATAGTGTAGAGAGAGAAAGCAATTTAAGAGAGACTGAAGAGATTCTTGGCTTGGGGAAAGCAATTTAAGAGAAAGTGGAACAGATTGGGAAAAAATGAGAATCTGATGAGCTGAAGGAGAAGAAAAGTGACCTTCGGACGGCTGAGAATGAATGGGTGGGTGAGAGAGAGAGAGAGAGCGCTAATTTTTTAATTTTTGAAGGATTTTGCCCGCACAGAAGGAGCTTACTTTGAAATGACCCTTATATTCCTTCTAATTACATCAATTGGCACTCTTCAATTTTGCTCTTACAAGAACTGTTAACCCAACAACCCCTCCCATCCCCACCCCCCCCTCAAAAAAAAAAAAAAAAAAACCATCTAAACTGACCTTTATTATTGTTTATGCTTAAAAGGCTAGTATCCCGAAGGAAAAAGAAAAAAAAATGATACTATACCATAAAAGGAAAAAAAAATAGAAAAGAACATACAATTTCTTTTCTTTAATTGATATCTTCCTATGGAAAAAAAGAGATACTTCCTTTATTTTGATTGTCTTCATCAAGGAACAATACGAATAGATTTAAAGAGGGAAAAAATTTTTGAGAGCCAATGTGCAAATTGAACTATTCATCTCATTCCTCCCAAATCCTTCGAGTTGATGACCTTTGTAGCGGCATTAACGCTTTAATGTGACCAAAATCCACCACCTCCATTGCCAAATCACTGAAGCCGTAGTCGTCGCCATTGGAGAAAGCCACCACTACTGCATCACAAGTCACCAAGTAGCCCTTGGTCCGATCATCCAATTCACTCCAATCAACAAGCACGGTTTTGCAGTCAAAGCAACTTCATCACTTTCATGTACCTATCAAACAACAACCCTTTTGAGGGTTCCTTAAGGACCTATTCACTTTACATGGATTAACTGAATGCCAAAAAAACAAAAAAAAAAAAAAAGATAGAAGAGTGGGAGCAAGAAGGAGGATGAAGATTTGAGAATTCTAGGTCAGTCAAAGAGCAATTGTAGACCTTGAAGACCACCTAAGCGAACCAACTAAGGGGACTTTGCTCTACTTGGTCGACAAGCTTACTATAAAATTTGAAAATAAGGGATGCTTCCCCCTTTTGTCAACTACTTCTATGCATAATTTATTCAATGAATAGTTGTTCAACTGTTAAACAGCCACAACTGAACAAGGCTCGACCAATTGAGTCAACCGAATCACTAAAGGCATCACTATGACCTTTGGAGAAAGCCACCACTGCTACATCACAACTCTCTAGGCTTTTCTCGCTAAACTTGGTCATCAAATTCATGGATTGCCAAACAAAAATCTTGGCATTCTTTTCCTTCCTCTAATCTACCCTCCAATGGACAAATAAGAAAAGGGTAGGGCCCATGGAAATTTTACCCTTCCAAATCACTTCCTTCCCTTTGTAAAGTGCATACCTCTCCCTATCCTTAACCCTTTTTTCCTATCCTTTCCACCCAAAAATGCAAACCAAACATACCCTTAAAGAAAAATTGCTTGAGAATATGAAAACTTGATTGACACAACCTGAACTGTCCTGATCAAACCCAAAAATTCAGATTCAAAAAACTCTCACTTCATTGGTCAAGTCATTCATGTGCAAAACCAAACTATTGTCCAACAATTTAGTTGAGCACTTCATAACCTGTGTAAATTAACCAACCCATTTCATGTGTTATTTAGATTTCAAACCTCTCTCTCTCTCTCTCTCTCTCTCTCCATCTCTTTCTTTTTCCCTTCACAAATCTCAATCTCTCCCAATCAAAGAAGAAAATGACTAAAGTAGTATTCCCTACATTTGAAGTAGACCATAGACCACAAAAAGAGCAACCATGAATGTATTGCCTTTACATACAAGGTCATTTATAATAGAGTAATTTTCATTTATTCATATATAAAGCGCTTCAGCAAATGCCATTACCAATAGAAATGAGCTTTAGTAAAGGAGAAGAAGGTGAAGGTGATGGCAAAGAAGTCTTGGCATTCTTTTCCCTCCTTTAATCTACCCTCCAATGGACAAATGAGAAAGAGGTAGGGCCTATGGAAATTTTACCCTTCTAAATCAATCTTTCCCTTGTAAAGTGCATGCCTCTCTCTATCCTTAACCCCTTTTCCTATCCTTTCCACCCAAAAATGCATACCAAACATGCCCCTAAAGCAAGGATGCTTGAGAATCCGAAAATTTGATCGACACAACCCAAAACTATCCTGATCAAATCCACAAATTTGAGTTCAAAAAACTCTCACTTCATTGGTCAAGTCATTTTTCTGCAAAACCAAACTGTTTGCTAGCAATTTGGTTGAGCACTTTATAACCTATGTAAATTGACCAACCCATTTTATGCATTATTTTAGATTTTAGACCTCCTTCTCTCTCTCTCTCTCTCTCTCTCTCCATCTCTTTCTTTCTCCCTCCTCAAATCTTAATCTCTCCCAATCAAAGAAGAAAATGATTGAAGTAGTATTCCCTACATCCAAAGCAAGCCATAGACCACGAAAAAAAGCAACCATGAATATCTCGCCTTTACATACAAGCTCACCTTTATAATAGAGAAATTTTCATTTCTTCATATATAGAGTGCTTCAGCAAATGCCATTACCAACCAAAATGAGCTTCAATAGAGGAGAAGAAGGTGAAGGTGAAAGCAAAAATATTTATGTTTGTTTCAATGTTTCGTATTTATTTTAATAATGACAAAACAAAATAAAATTATTATATATATATATTTATATAATGGACAAATTATATTATTGAGTTTATTATTTAGAAATACAAACACTACATGTGCTACAAAATGAAATTGTCAAATTAGATATGTATATAGTAAATTGATCATATCTTGTTATATAAAATTTCAAAAATAGCAAAGTTAATTTATATGAATATATACTCAAATACCTTTATTTTAATGTATAATTTATCTCATATACTCTTTTATATCAAAGCAGTTTTTTTTTTCAATTTCATATATTGTCTTGTGAAAAAGTCAATATTGAAATCTACACGATATTAGTTTTAAATTGTAAAATATAACTTATGATATAAATAAAATTCTGAATTAATTTTACTATAAAGTAGACGTGCTGAGTTTTAAATGCATATATTTTATGTACATTTTACACTTATAGATTGATAGATATAATATTTCAAATGGACCATTCTGCTGATTCACACTGTCAGCAGACAAAATGAGTATACCATTTTGTTTTTATCATATCACAAAATATAAAAGTCAAATTTGTATAAATCTAATTTTGAATGAAGTTAGATATTATTAGCCTTTCAAAAATATAAAATTTATTATTTTTGATGACAAATAAAAATTTTGAGACAATTTTGAACTTGGCCAACAACTTTTGTCAAAAGCAATTTTACAGTCTGGCATGTCATTGAAGATTTGATCATTTCTCTTAAATGGTGCACAATAATTCAATGATTATTTTTGTGTTTGAGAATAGACTCATTGAAGAGTGTTCAAAACTTTTTTAACATTTTTTAAACTTTCAAAGTCATTTTATTCGAATTTGTGAAACAAGTATATGTACAGTTGCTGTTGATAAATAATTTGTCTTCCACAAAGGCCAACGTCTCTCCAACATCTCTTTGGCATTTTTGCCTATAAAAGAAGCATAGATTGAAGGGAGAAGTACACAACAATAAGCTCTCAAAGTCTCATCAATCTCTCTCTAAAATTCTTTGTGTTACATTGTTTATTACTAGATCAAAAAGTGTATAAAGCAAATTGTTTTATTCTTGAGAGTGCCTCTTTGAAATGGTAGCTAATTCTACTTAAGAGAAATTGCTGCATTTCTACTTCATCTTTATTACCATTTGTATTGGTGTTTAAAGCTCACTGAATCAAAAACTTTGTGATCGGAATTTCTTGTCTCTGTCAAGTGCAAGTGACTTTGTTTGTAAT